CTTTATGGATTTATCTACCTGTCTTCTTTGTAGTTGCTGGCTTTCAGATTGGGTCTCTGAGTGGACGTTCTGTTTGTTGATGATGAAGTTATTTCTGTTTCTTGGTTTTCCTTCTGATAGTCTGGCCCCTCTGCTGTAGGTCTGCTGAGGTCCATTCCAGGCCCTGATTGCCTGCGGATCACCTGCAGCAGCTTCTGAACAGTAAGGGCCGTTACCAGTTTTCTTCTTTTGCTATCTTTGTCCCAGAGGGATACCCGCCAAGTGTCAATCTGATCTCTCCTTTATGAGGTGGCTCTTTGGATATACAGCGGTCAGGGAGCTGCTTCAGGAGATGGTCTCTTCTTTATAGGAGCTCAAACGCTGAGCTGTGAGCTCCATTGTTCATTCGGAGCTGCTGGGCAGGTACGTTTAGGTCTGCTGCAACAGAACTCATAAACCGCTTTTTGTTCCCAGGTGCTCTGTCCCAGGGGTTTAGGGCTTTATGAGTTTCCGTTATGCTGCTGCCTTCTTTTTTTTTCCCTTCAGAGCTGCCCTGCCCAGCAAGGAGGCAGCCTAGTCACTGTCTGCCTGTAGAGGCTTTGCTGAGCTGCTGTGGGCTCCGCCCAGCTGCCGAGTGAACTTCCCCAAAATCCTGTTTATATGGGTGTAGTTAGAACTGCCTTGGCAATGGTGGCCCACCTCTGTTGGAGTGGAGTCTCTCTGCAGTGGCGGGTTGCCTTGGCAACAGCGGGCTGCCTCAGCATTGGCTGACTACCTCCGTAGTGGTGGGCTGCCTTGGTAATGGCGGGCACCCCTCCCCCACAGAGCTGGACCATCCCGTGTTCAGCAGTGCTTGCTGTGAAACTCTCAATCCAGAGAGTTTCTGATTGCTGTTCTTTTGTGGGAGTGGGACCAGCCGAGCCCGATCACCTGGCTCCCTGCCTCAGAGGCTTTTTTTTTTTTTTTTTTCCCCTGTGGCAAGTCACTGCGCTGGCTTAAACAGCGACACTGAGATTCGTGGAGCGTTTTTTGGCCCTGGAATCTACTGTCCTGGCTCCCTGCTCAGTCTCCCTTTTAAATAGACGAATGGGCGACTTCCCGTGGCTCCAATCGCCAGCCAAAAGGGCATCCAGACTGGTGTATTTTGCATGGAGAACCGCTGCTCCAGGGCGCTGGAAAAGCAGCTGTGTGTGGCAAAGCAGCAGCGCCGGCGGCACAGCCGCGCTGGCCGAAACAGCCGCGCTGGTGACCTGTGGAGCTCCTCCGCCTGGGAATTTCCTAGTCTGTGGGCAATAAAAATGCAGCATCCACTCACCCTCTGTGCTTTCACTGGGAGCTGCAATCCTGAGCTGTTCCTAAACGGCCATCTTGGATCGATCCTCTACTTTTTTTTACTCTGTCTTTCTCAGAGGGTAACATTGGCCCCATCCTACTTGAAACATTGAATCATTCATTGGCCTGTAAGAACAAATTAGGAATTTTTCACTGAACAAATTTAAAGAGAGAGACCCAGATAACATTTAGCATCTGATGTTTAAAAGCTGTTTTCTTCTGTGTACTATGTCAGCAAGCAGTTAGTAGCCATGAGTAGATCTGGGAACCAGATAATAGTTTTATACTCCAAATAGTTAGGCTCCCCATAGGTAAATCTAAAGAATCCACAGAGAATTCAGCATTTTCTTCCACTCAATGATACCTTTTCTACAAAAATAGAACTCTCTTTTGATGAGCAAAGACTAAATAATTACTTGATGTCATGCCAGCTATGTAGCAGCAGGACAATGTTAGTCAGACAGGGAATAGGTATTGAGAAAACCAAGCAAAGTGTCCATTTCTGGAATCGGTGATTCAGGAGTTAAAAGTTCAGTGGGAACAGTAGCTTAGAAATGGGAAGTCATGTCAGAATCTAGACAAGGTATTTCCAGCAGAGTCACTACAGAATAAGGTAGTGTGAGAGTCATTAGGTTTCAAAAGTCAGTGGAGGTAAGATTTGCAGCTGCCCTGCTTGATGTGGTAGTCTCTAGCCACGTGGGACTATGAGCACTTGAAATGTGTTCAGTGTGAATTGAGATGTACTGTAGTGTAGAACACGTACTGGACTCAGGAGACATTATTTACTAAGAATGTAAAATGTCTCATTAAAAATTTTAAATTTTGATTATATGTTGAAATGATAGGATTTTAGATATATTGAGTTAAATATATTGTTAAAATTCAGAAGCAAATTGATAATGATGAACAAAACCCAAGAAGACAAATAAACATAAAACAAATAATAATGACTGTTAAAAATCGAGCTCTTTCTCCAGTCAGCACCACCAAAGCATCAGGCCAAGGGAGTTTTACAGGCCAGTGATACGAAATATTCAAAGAATAGATGTTTTAGACTTTTAGAGACTATAGTTAAAGATGGAGAGATTCTTAATTCATAAAAAATGCATCTTACTGTGGCAGTGAATAGAGTAATACTATAATTCTCTGTGGCCATATCCTATTTTTTCTATGAGACTGTAGAAATACACATACAGTTGGATGTGCCCATATCCTTGACGTGGAGGTCCAAACTATCATCAGAGTGATCTTTCTATTCTCCAGGTTTAACCACCACAGTGCTTCCAATAGATTTACTCATGGAACATTAATTGAAAAATAACTTGTCCAGGAACAGACTTAATAGTTAAATCTTTTGATGGGTTCTTCAAAGATCATTCTGCTACATTACCTAAGCATATAGTGTTTTGTTCAGGAATGTTTTACTCTTAGGAGATTCACATAATCTATGAGGAATGATGTGTATATCTGCATGTGTAGAGAGCTGGAATCAGCAGATAAAGATGTATGAGGTAATTAAGCAGGCCAGTGATGAATCTCATTAGCAGGATTTCAGCTGCTTGGCTAAGGAAGATCTTAGTGTTTTTATTAGACTGAAACATAAATTTCTTGCCTTTATGATTATTACTTAAAACTATAATCACGTTTTGTGTCAGGTGAGATCAAACTATGCCTGTGATGACACCACTGAAGCATCTACAGCATGGATGTCCACTCTTCTGTCAGAGTCCCCATGTCAGCCAGTACTGAGGTACTGGCTCTCTGAAATCTCTCTATGATCAAGATACTCAATACCTTGCAAATTGTTAATGATATCGTTTTTCTTCCCTCCCTCCCTCCTTCCCTTCCTTCGCACCCTCCCTTTTCCTTTCTCCCTTCCCTACCTCCTTTTCCTTTCTCCTTCCTTCCTTTCTCCTTCCTTCCCTTCTCCCTCCCTCCTTTCTTTCTCTCTTTCTCCCTCCCTCCCTCTCTCTCTCCCCCCCTTTCTCTCTTTCTTTCCTCTCTTTCTTTCCAAAACAGAGTTTTGCTTTGTTGCCCAGGCTGTAGTGAGGTGGCATGATCTCAGTTCACTGCAACCTCTGCTTCCTGGGTTCAAGTGATTCTCCTGCCTCAACCTCCTGAGTAGCTGGGATGACAGATGGGTGCCATGATGCTCAGCTAATTTTTGTATTTCTTGGTGGAGACGGGGTTTCACCATATTGGCCAGGCTGGTCTCGAACTCCTGACCTCAGGCTATCCGCCACCTCAGCCTCCCAAAGTGCTGGGATTACAGACATGGGCTACCATGCCTGGCCAATAATATCATTTTCATACATAACTTTTCTGTGGGACTTTTGGGTAAGACATTTAAAATATGGTGTGTCCAGGCTTTGAGCGACTTCTTACTGTAGGAAACTGAAAGTCTTCTGCCCTGTAATTTCCTCATCAGAGGAGTTCCTGATTGTGCTTATTGAAATGAAGAATAAAGGTTCATGACTTGTGAACACCAAGGATTTCTCTTCCCTGGTATTGGTCTGAACAATAATAAATTGTGTTTAGTATCCCTGTGTGTGAGAGTAAACGATGAAGAATTCAGCATGTACATTATAATGAAAACTGCTAAAATTTCTTCTTGTCATCTAAAAGAAGCTACATAATGACAAGGAAGTTGAGTATGATTTGACTGCGTGGAACCATGCTAGGATCACTGCTCTGACAGCTGTAAAGGATCAAAAGGAAAAATAACAATGAATGAATGTTGTTCATTCTTGCCACCACAATGGCACTTCAATGTTTTTCTGTAGTGAGCAAAATGAAAAGCTGATTTTTTGTCTTGGTAGACCCATGAAATTGGCATGAATGTGTTCTCTTTTTACAGGTCAGGAAACATAATTTTTCATAATTCTATTTTACTAGTAGATACTCATTATATATATGTGTGTGTGTGTGTGTGTGTGTGTGTGTATATATATATATATATATATATATATATATATATATATATATATTTTAAAAGCCTGGAAATTTCTCTTTGATACCATTTTTCTTACGAGAGTCAAAGTTTTTATAAACTATAAATTGTTAACTGAACATACCTAAAAATATCAATCATCTGACTCTATCTTTTGCATAGTTTTCCATTTTTTGATTGCTCTGACAAACATTTCTAATGATTCAGAAATTATTTTGGTAGATATAGTTCCTTTTTCTACAAAATTAGATATAAGCCTTCAAAGACATAGTAAGGTCATCATCATAAGAGTAGTGATGTTGCAAGTAGTAGCAAAACTGTACCTTTGTCTTTTTTTTCTTCCTTTTTTTTAAACCTTGATCCTAGGACTTTACATTTTCTCTTTTATATCTTGATATTCAACTGGTAAAATAAGATTCATTTATTCACCAATTGAATTAATATTTATTTTGTGTCTGCTATGTGCTTAGAACTGTTGTGGATATAAGAATAAAAGTTTCTGTCTTCATGGATGTACATACTAGTTAGTATACCAAAAACATGCATATATACACATCCACACATGCACACACAAAATATAATATATAATAGGATGTGAGGTGGTGATACATGCTATATGAGGAAAAATACAGAGGAATGAATAGAGTAAGGTGTTATTGGAGGGCTGACTGGACACAGAGAGTAAAGAACTGTTATTTTAGGCAAGGTGGCGTGCCTAAATGCCACCAGATTTGTTCTTTTTGCTTAGACTTGCTTTGGCTATGCAGGCTTTTTTTTTGATTCCATATGAATTTTAGAATTCTTTCTTCTAATTCTGTGAAGAGTGATGGTGGCATTTTGATGGGGATTGCACTGAATTAGTAGATCACCTTTGGCAGTACGGTCATTTTCACAATATTAATTCTACCCATCCGGATGTATTTGGTGGTTGCTGGATGAAATGTTCTGTATTTATCTGTTAAGTCCATTTGTTCCAAGGTATAGTTTAAATCCATTGTTTCTTTATTCACTTTCTGTTTGATGTCCTGTCTAGTGCTGTCAGTGGAGTATTGAAGTCCCCCATTATTATTGTGTTGCTATCTGTCTAATTTCTTAGTTATCCCTGCTTGCTTTTGGTGTCCATTTGCATGAAATGCCTTTTTCCATCCCTTTAAGTTTATGTGAGTCCTTATGTGTTAGGTGAGTCTCCTGAAGGCAGCAGACAGTTGGTTCATGAGCTTTTACCCATTCTGTGGTAAAATAATGTTCTGTATCTTGTAAGTGGAGGATTTAGGCCATTTACATTCAATGTTAGTATTGAAATGTGAGGTACCTTTGTATTCACTGTGTTTCTTGTTGCCTGTGTACTTTTGTTTTTGTTGTTGTTGTTGTTGTTGTTGTTTGCTTTTTAATATGTATTTTTTGTTTTATAGGTTCTGTGTGATTTCTGTTTTAAAGAGGTTCTGTTTTGATGTGTTTTCAGGATTTGTTTCAAGATTTAGAACTCCTTTTAGCAGTTCTTGTAGTGGTGGCTTGGTAATGGCGAATTCTCTTGGTATTTGTTTGTCTGAAAATGACTGTATCTTTCCTTCATATATGATGCTTGGTTTCATTGGATACAAAATTCATGACTGATAATTGTTTTGTTTGAGGAGGCTAAAGATAGCAACCCAATCCCTTCTAGCTTGTAGGGTTTCTACTGAGAAATCTGCTGTTAATCTGATAGGTTTTCCTTTATAGGTTACCTGGTACTTCTATCTCACAGCTTTTTTTAAATTGTACTTTAGGTTCTAGGGTACATGTGCGGATCATGCAGGATTGTTGCATAGGTAGACACATGGCAATGTGGTTTGCTGCCTCCATACCCCCATACCTACATCTGGCATTTCTCCCCATGTTATCCCTCCCTGACCTCTCCACCCCACTGCTGTCCCTCCATTGGCCCCCACAACAGACCCCAGTGTGTGATGCTCCCCTCCCTCTGTCCATGTGTTCTCATTGTTCAACACCCACCTCTGAGTGAGAACATATGGTATTTGATTTTCTGTTCTTGTTTTGTTTGCTGAGAATGATGGTTTCCAGGTTCATCCATGTCCCTACAAAGGACACAAACTCATCATTTTTTATGGCTGCACAGTATTCCATGGTGTATATGTGCCACATTTTCCTTGTCCAGTCTATCATTAATGGGCATTTGGGTTGGTTCCAGGTCTTTGCTATTGTAAACAGTGCTGTTATGAACATATGTGTGCATGTGTCTTTATAGTAGAGCTATGTATAATCCTTTGGGTATATACCCAGTAATGGGATTGCTGTGTCAAATGGAATTTCTATTTCTAGGTCCTTCAGGAAGTGCCACATTGTCTTCCACAATGGTTGAACTAGTTTACACTCCCACCAACAGTGTAAAAGTGTTCCTATTTCTCCACATCCTCTCCAGCATCTGTTGTCTCCAGGTTTTTTAATGATCGTCATTCTAACTGGCATGAGATGATATCTCAATGTGGTTTCGATTTGCATTTCTGTGATGACCAGTGATGATGAGCATTTTTTCATATGTTTGCTGGCCTCATATGTCTTCTTTTGAAAAGTGTCTGTTCATATCCTTCTCCCACTTTTGGATGGGTTTGTTTGTTTGTTTGTTTGTTTTCCTGTAAATCTGTTTTAGTTCTTTGTAGATTCTGGATATTAGCCCTTTGTCAGATGGGTAGATTGCAAAAATTTTTTCCCATTATCTTGGTTGCCAGTTCACTCTAATGATTGTTTCTTCTGCTGTACAGAAGCTCTTAAGTTTAATTAGGTCCCATTTGTCCATTTTGGCTTCTGTTGCCAATGCTTTTTGGTGTTTCAGTCATGAAGTCTTGACCACGTGTATGTCCTGAATGGTTTTTGCCTAGGTTTTCTTCTAGGGTTTTTATGGTGTTAGGTCTTATGTTTAAGTCTTTAATCCATCTGGAGTTAATTTTAGTGTAAGGTGTCAGGAAGGGGTCCAGTTTCTGCTTTCTGCACACTGCTAGCCAGTTTTCCAACACCATTTATTAAACAGGGAATCCTTTCCCAATAGCTTGTTTTTCTCAGGTTTGTCAAAGATCAGATGGTTGTAGATGTGTGGTGTTGCTTCCGAGGCCTCTTTCTGTTCCATTGGTCTATGTCTCTGTTTTGGTACTAGTAACATGCGTTTTGATTACTGTAGCCTTGTAGTATAGTTTGAAATCAGGTAGGATGATGCCTCCAGCTTTGTTCTTTTTGCTTAGAATTGACTTGGCTCTGCGGGCTCTCTTTGGGTTCTACATGAAGTTTAGGGTGGTTTTTTCAGTTCTGTGAAGTAGTTCATTGGTAGCTTGATGGGGATAGCGTTGAATCTATAAATTACTTTGGGCAGTATGGCCATTTTCATGATACTGATTCTTCCTATCCGTGAGCATGGAATGTTTCTCCATCTGTTTGTGTCCTTTCTTACTTCCTTGAGCAGTGGTTTGTAGTTCCCCTTGAAGAGGTCCTTTACATCCTTTGTTACTTGTATTCCTAAGTATTTTATTCTCTTTGTAACGATTGTGAATGGGAGTTTGCTCATGACTTGGCTCTCTGTTAGTCTGTTATTAGAGTATAGAAATGCTTGTGATTTTGGCACATTGATTTTGTATACTGAGACTTTGCTGAAGTTGCTTATCAGTTAAAGGAGAATTTGGGCTGAGATGATAGGGTCTTCTAAATATGCAATCATGTCATCTGCATAGAGAGACAATTTGACTTCCTCTTTTCCTAATTGAATACCCTTCATTTTTTTTCTTGCCTAATTGCTCTGGCTAGAACTT